GCGCATTTCAATTTTCTCCCATTGACTTATACCTAATGGAGCAGTCACAAAACTGACTTGACCTTAGGTCACAGACATAAAAAATCCGAGGTATCCGTTTTATACATACTGTTACCCTAAGCAATTACTGACAGTTTTTAAAGTGATCGCTCAGTCGGTGTAGCTACAACGAGCTTTCGAATTTTTTTTTTTTTTTTTTGTCTGAGGTAAGGTCACTTGACGTTACCTGGTGACCTGACCTCGAATGACGCTACGCGTCGCGTCGCCGTTTTTTGAGATATTCGCGAAAAACCTGAGGGGGAAGGGCGTAAAAACGCCCCCCCCCCCAGCACGGCGCGGGTGGTCGACATAGCGACTCGGACTGAACAAATGCCTTGAACGTTTTAACGGTTGAATAAGGTGAGAGGATTAAGGTAGGCTTGTATCGGATTTTCTTCTGCTTGTCGGTAGTTTAGGTTAAAGTTAATTTCGCGAGTTGTCCATAATCATTGAAGAGGGAAAATTCAGCTGCACATCGTTCGGGTCAAAGTAATACCAAACATTCTCAAATTTTGTAGTAAAGAGCCAGTAGTCTACGAATATATTCAAAAAACAATGGGAAAAAGAATAAGCGGACCGGTTTCGTTTATCAAAGACTTCTTCAGCGCTTTTTCAAAAACGTATAAGAAGAAAACTAGCACAGTGACAATCGTTTGAAATAAAATTGGATTCAGTAATAACTAAGAACTTCATTGTCCGAAAACCGCTGACAGTTGATAGATCAATGACACTTAGAGCCGTGCATATTAAGGAGGCGTGAAAACACTCCTCATCTCGTTCTATTACGAGAGGACCATGTCATGGCTGAGAAAGGTGTTCTCAAAATAAATGATACTGTATGAGTGAATAAATATTCCGCGCCCCCTTGGGCTATTGGCGGACCCTACCACCTGATCGGTGGTGCAGCCGTTTCGCCCTCCACCTGAGATCTCGGAAAGTTAGGTACCGACCGATTTTTAACATTCAAAGAGCGTTCGATAGCCCCACCAGGGAACTACCTTGTTACCAGGTTTCGTTGACCTAGGTGCAACCCATGACGTCACAAGTCAGGTCATAGGTCGCATTTTTCACCGATTTAGTCTAAGGAATGCGTTACAGTCAGTTAACACATCAAATAAAAGGCATGTTATCGAAAAACATCGATGGAGCGTTGGTTGTCTAATACATATGTTGCCTAAAGAGGTCATTGATGCCAGGTCATTTCACAGAGGTCAGGTCACTAAGGGTCACAATATGATCCCAACTATGCTAGGGTCGTGTGATACATGTTTTAAGGCCAATTTTACACTTAAAATTCAATGATGTGAGCTAGACGGCCATTTGGGCCAGTTTAGATTACATTCTGGTGGAGATCAAGGTCAGGTCAAAGTAGGTCAAATTTCAAAGTTGATATTTTGCATAAAAGGGGTATCTATTCGATGCAGCTCATCACAGGAAATCCAATGGTGGCCTTTGGCTTGCTTTGTGTGTTCTGTGACGGCTAAAAATTGAATTTGAAAATTTTACGTACTAAATTTTGAGTAGTTCTTTTTTTGCCATAAATTTGCTAAAAATGGAGCTATCGAGTTTAAGTTTGGCATATCTAGAGCAGATAGTTCTATAACATATATTTCAGTTTTAATTTTGAAAGTTGTTGGTATTTTCGGGGTGTTATACCTACTTCTATAGTTTTGATGATCAAAATCAATTTTTGTTCGGAAATAAGAGTTAGCAGTTTGGTAGCGCTGTTTATTTTACATCTTTTTTATCTTGAATATTTTTCGTTATCTTCAAAACTGTAAGCGTGACAGCTCTTCCCGCTAAACCTTTCATTGGGTCGAAAATGACAGAGCATGGCATCCCTCTGACGTCATTTGTGACTAACCTTTCATAAGAGCTCTGGAAAAATTTGGTCACAAGGTGTAAAAATGATGCCCGGAGGGGTCTTGAAAGTTTGGTGGCGCCATTTGCTATACTTTAGGAGATATCGACTGAAAAGGAGAGAGGGGGCCGTTTCGCGCCGCCCTCCCCTAAACGGGGCTTTCAGTTGCTGCTCTCACAGAACTCTATTACAACGTAGTGGAATTGCAAGTGGCAATGTAAGCTTCCTGCCAGCGCCGGACCAGAGTTTAAACATGCAGGCTGAATTTTAACATTTAACTTTTGAATTTTTAAACCGTTGAGCTTTTTAGAAGTTGTATGAACTGTTCAGCTCCTTTTTTGGTCCATCACAGACACAGCGGGCTTGTATGTCATTTGTCAACCAAAATCGAATTAAAAACTTTTTATTTGATCTGGCTACCTCGCCAACTTCTTAACTGGATCGTTTAATGGCTTTTGATTGGGCACTGCCCACGTTGTCTGTCTAGCTTTTCGTGTCAAAGACACTGTCTATGGCACGAGAAGAGGCTGCTGACATTGTTTGTCGCGGTTGGATAATACCAATCCACGTCCCAGTGGCTGCTCGATCGCACTTTCCCTGGCCCACCTCTCCCACCAGGCGAGACTTTGCCCGGCACGGCCGTCGCCTCAGTGCCTCGGGCGGTGACCCGTTCAAAGGGGCTCACAATTCGTATGGTGCCGTGGCTCTCAAACCAATACAGAACAGTGAAACGCAAAGGCTCACTTTCCATATAAGGCGAACGGCTGATTCTGGCGCCGGGGCTTCATTCATGCTAAGGCGCCCAATCACAGCGCCGCATTTCAGTTAGTGTCGGGCGCAAAAGCTACTATGCTCCGCCCCTCCATCACGTGACCCTGCCCTCACGTGGCCTCAGTCACGTGGTGTTTCCACTTCTTGGCGCATGGCGGCGCTAGTCTCGCAGGGGCGGTGGTAGCTTGGTCCCCCGCCGTCCGGGGGTGATGGGTAGCAACTGCTGGTGACTGTACTGCGGTTAGATAATACCAATCCACGTCCCAGTGCAGTGGCTGCTCGATCACAATTTTCCTGGCCCAGCTCTCCCACCAGGCTAGACTTTGCCCGGCACAGCGCCTCCTCAGTGCCTCGGGCGGTGACCCGTTCAAAGGAGCTCACAATTCGTATGGTGCCGTGGCTCTCAAACCAACACAGAGCAGTGAGACGCACAGGCTCACTTTCCATATAAGGCGAACAGCTGATTCCGACGCCGGGGTTTCATTCATGCTAAGGCTCCCAATCACAGCGCGGCATTTCAGTTAGTGTCGGGCGAAAAAGCTGCTATGCCCCGCCCCTCCATCACGTGACTCTTCCCTCACGTGGCCTCAGTCACGTTCTCTACTTTCTTACGCGAAACAGTCCATTTCGACCTTTGCTAGTGTCATGGTTTATCTTAGAAATGGTGATTCAACTAATTATCATTGTTAATTGTCCGTTTAATGGCAGTTTTGAAAGCTTATCACCACTGTGGTTTCGCTGTCGCCGCCATATTTCAAGCTCATGAAAAATGTGTTCCATTTTTAATTGCGCCCACCCTATTTGCGCCCTATTCTTCAACCCAGAGAAACAGCATCTGGTGGTTGGGAGACATTTCATTGAACACTTTGATCATTAGAGCGCTCACCTTACCATTACCTTAGCCTTCACAGCATAACTGGTCAATGGGCTGACACGTTCAAATAGGCTACTTAGTTAGGTGGTAAACCGTTGTTTTGAATAGGGCGATTTTACATGAGAGGCATGGGCGCTTTTTGATAGGGGAGTCCGTAAATGTGCCCTTTGCAGGTGTGTCGGAATACTTTCCTCTTGTTATTTTTTCTGGGTGTGATACAAATTGGGAGTTTTTAAATTTTATTTGATGCCAAAATAACTGAGGCACAATTTTAGATACCCATCATCAAATATGACAGCTGGTCAACTTTAGCCGCAATAGGCCGATATCCTTAAGGTGGCGCAATATGACTTCTCTCTCCTACTCATTTGTGAACAGAACGTTTCACTACCACTCGCCAGAAATTCAATGAGCAGTTGCTAATCTTTTAACATTTGAGTGTACAGTCACCAGCACTTGCTACCCATCACCCCCGGACGGCGGGGGAGCAAGCTACCACCGCCCTTGCGAGACTAGCGCCGCCATGCGCCAAGAAGTGGAAACACCACGTGACTGAGGCCACGTGAGGGCAGGGTCACGTGATGGAGGGGCGGAGCATAGTAGTTTTTGCGCCCGACACTAACTGAAATGCGGCGCTGTGATTGGGCGCTTTAGCTTGAATGAAGCCCCGGCGCCAGAATCAGCCGTTCGCCTTATATGGAAGGTAAGCCTGTGCGTTTCACTGTTCTGTGTTGGTTTGAGAGCCACGGCACCATACGAATTGTGAGCCCCTTTCAACGGGTCACCGCCCGAGGCACTGAGGCGACGGCTGTGCCGGGCCTAGCCTAGCCTGGTGAGAGAGGTGGGCCAGGGAAAGTGCGATCGAGCAGCCACACTGAGACGTGGATTGGTATTATCTAACCGCGACAAACGATGTCAGCAGCCTCTTCTCGTTGACACGAAAAGTTTGACAGACAACGTGGGCAGTGCCTAATCAAAAGCTACTACTGTTAACGCCAGACCCCTTGAGACCCAATTTTTCGCGATTATTTTTTAATGCGTGGAACAATTTCAACCATATTTAGGAAATAGCTGTTTCAAGACCTGCCGAAACTTTTTCTTCAAATACGTTTTGTTGTCACTTAAATATTTGTGGCACTTGTCATTGACTCGTAATGTTAACTGTTTTTCCATCCTGGATAGAGGCTTTCATACGTCATATGACATTAGGCTCCGCCCACGACTGCGGCATTGACCCGTGCCCATCAGCGACCTCTGTACAAACGACACCCCTGCCATCTGTAAAGGACTATGAATTTCGCTGACGCTCCACGTGCTATGTATCAATTGCAGCAGACGGTCAAGTAAATGTTAGGTTCTTGTTGACTCTCGTATATAGGACCAAGAGGGCCAATACTCCTCAACCTACTACTCACACATGCTTCGAACAAACGTTAAAGATTCCTAACAAATACGATGTTCCATGTAGGATATAGGTATGTTTGAAATACGAGCGAGCGTTATGATGTGAAGCGAAGGCAATTAATTAATTATTGCGTTGTTCGATGGTTGCATAGCGATGTACAGATCAGCAACTACTTGATGACATCCGACACCCCATTATCACATTATCTACAACGCCATAGGCTTTAAATACAGGTGAATATTTCCTAACCTTATGTCAGGTATATGCCATCTGCCCGTTATTTGCAGCTTATGAAAAATAAAACAAATATCAGCCGTCAGCGAACCTATCAGCATTGTACAAGCAATGCGCATTGAGCATTCATGGCTCCTCAGTCATCATGTCGCTCTTTGGGCACTGTCAGACAAGACCTTACGCACAACTCCGCCGTTTTTTCGGCACCGCTCGACCATCCCCGCTCCCCGCCACAGCGCGAGTGACCGCGCACCAGCCCGAAACCGCCGCAGGCCAAGACCACAGAGGCGGGGCTTAACTGTGACGTCATAACGTATCACAGACTGACTGATGATAGCCTCTACACACCGGGTGAAAATCTTGCTCGAAATTTAACATTACGAGTCAATGAGAAGTGCCTGAAATATTGAAACGGCGACAAAATATCTAAATTGTAAAAGTTTCGGCAGGTCTTGAAACGGCCATGTCCTGAGTTTGGTTGAAATTCTTCCACGCATTAAAAAATAATCGCGAAAAAATAGGGTCTCAAGGGCTCTGGCGTTAACAGTAAACGATTCAGTTAAGTAGGGGAAGCGGGGGGAGCACCGCCACCTTAACCCGGCAGGCGGTGGGCCTACCAGCCACCTTCCGCGCGGTGGGGGGGGGGGCACTTTTTTGCCCTCCCCCCGTATCTCCGAAACTCCTGGACGGATCCGGAAAATTCAAACGGCGTTCGATAGCCCTGTCAAATTTGTTGAGGGAAACCAAAATTCATTGATCTCGGGGTCACTGATGACGTCACAGGTCAGGTCAAAGATAAAATGTTTCACCGTTCACGGGGCTTCTAGGGAATGCGCTATAACACCGAAGAAAACGCATTTTGTCGAGAATCAGTGATAGGGCGTCAGGAGCCTAGTACATATGTTGTTAAAAGAGGTCACTGACAATACCAGGTCAGGTCACAGGTCAGGTCACATGAACCTAACTTTAGGTACTATGGTTGTGCGATGCATGTTTTATGGCCAATTTTTCATTTCCAACTCAATGGTGTTGGTTATAAGACCATCAGGTACGGCTTAGGTCACTTTCTGGTGAAGGTCAGGTCAAGGTCAGGTCAAAAAAAAGTCTTTACACTGTGATGCGAAACATTTTTGGAATAGACTTAAGCGATTTGGTGCTAACCTATCTGCGAGAGGCTCTGCAGGCGCACAGCCACCAGACCGTGATGTGCTGAGCGCCGACCAGCTCAACGAGTATTTTGCCGGTGTCGGCGCTCGTGTGGCAGCTGAGGCCGCGCGGGCCGCGCAGGGGACCGAGACCCCCGCTGCCGGCCCGCGGCCTCCCAGGGTATGTGCGAGCGCCTTCGCCCCTCAATGCATAACGCTGCCAGACCTGATTCTGACCATCAGCCGGCTGAGTGCGTCGAGGGCTGTTGGGGTTGATGGCATTCCGATCGCTGCGATCAGAAGCTGTCTCCCTGCAGTCGGTCCGCCCATCCTTCACCTAATCAACTCATCCATATCCACCCTTACCTTCCCTGACGCATGGAAAGTTGCCATCGTCACACCAATCCACAAATCCGGTGACCCCAACCAGCCTGGCAACTACCGCCCCATATCCATCCTCCCATCTCTCTCCAAAATCCTTGAAAAGGTTGTGTGCTCTCAGCTCACCTCCTACCTCATCACTAACCACATCCTCTCCCCATCCCAGTATGCCTACCGCCCATCCCACTCCACTGAAGATGCCATACTCGACATTGTCGAATGGGCGGCTCGCAGGGTCGACGGTGGTGACGTTGCCGCGGTGACGTCAGTCGACCTGAGCAAGGCATTCGACAGTGTCGACCACTCGATGCTTCTGAACAAGCTCGAGTGGTATGGCATCTCATCCCGCTGGTTCAGCAGCTACCTCTCTGGCCGTTCCCAACTCATCCGCTCCTCAACGGCCCTCCCACTCTCCCACGGTGTTCCCCAGGGGTCCATCGTGGGTCCCATCCTCTTCCTCATCTTCGTCAACGACCTTACCTGCTTCCTCCCCCATGGCCGACTCATATCCTACGCGGATGACACCCAAATCCTGGACTCAGCACCCTCCAATCCCACTGGCATCCAAGTGCTGAAGTCCCGGGCCGAGGAGAACATTCAGCAACTTCAACGCTGGTTTAGCTTAAACAGTTTAAAAATGAATGGAGAGAAGACCTGCTTCACTCTTCTTGGCACTCAAAATTCAGTTGATAAAGTCAAAAACTTCACCCTTAACGTAGATGATGCAACTATTCGGCCAACAAAACACATCAAGGTGCTGGGTGTTCTCCTCGACCAAACCCTGAGCTGGGAGCCACATATATCCTCTATCGTTCGGCGGTCAAATGGAATCCTTATATCACTGTTCAAAATTCGCCATCACCTCTCCCCTGACATCCTTAAAATCCTCGTTCAAACCCACGTTTTCCCCCACCTCCAGTACTGCTCGTCAGTCTGGGGTGGTGCCCCCAAATCCCACCTGCACCGGCTGCAGAGGACCATCCATCTCGCTGTACGGCTCGTCTCTAGTCTCCGCAAATTCGACCACATCACCCCCGCCCTCGGCGCGCTCGGCTGGCCCGGCATTGGTGAGCTCATCGCACGCCGTGACGCGGTGAACGTGCAACGCGCCTTGTACGCCGCCGGCGCCCCCGACTCGCTGCGGTCCATGTTTCGCCCGCGTGCCGCCGTCTCCAATAGAGTCACGCGGGCCACGGCTGCGGGCGCAGCTGTGCTCGACCTGCCGCGGGTTCGACTGGCGGCGACCAGGCGGCTGTTTTCGTATAGAGCCGCCGCTGCATGGAACGGCCTGCCGCCGGAGGTGAAGGCGACTGGTTCCAGGAGACAGCTGGTGCAGCACTTTAGATAGTGACTGACAAGTGACATGACTGATTTTAGATATTTTATGTATGCTTTTGCGGGTGTTGCTTTATATTGACGTGTATATTGTATGTATGTATATGTGTGTGTGTGGGTGTGTGTACCTATCATGTATTGACTGGGCCGTAATAGCCACTTGTTGGACAAGCCCTAAATAAACGAAACGAAACGAAACGAAACGAAACGAAAAAAGGTCAAATTTCAAAGTTGATATTTTTGCATAAAATGGGTATGGATTCGATGCAACTCGTCACGGGGAGTCTAATGGTGGTCTTTGTTTTGCGCTACAAGGTCTAGAATTGCTAAAAATTGAGCTTGAAAATTTGACGTCATCAATTTTGAAGTTTTTTTCGCTATAACTTGGCCAAAAAAAGAGGTATCGATCTCAAATTCGGTATACAGATAGACGGCGGTAGGGGCTATCACAAATATTCCGGTTTTTTTCGAAATTCAAAAAACTTTTTGGATTTTTTTTGGCTATTATATTCAAAAAATCTATTTTTTTGATTTTTTGGGGTCAAAATCCAAAAATTTCAAAAATCTGAGATAACAGTTTTGTAGCCCTATCAATTCTACAGCTTTTATGTTGTATCGTTTTTCTGTATTTGCAAAGCTATAGGCCTGACAGCTCTTCCCGCGAAACCGTTTTTTGGGGGTCGAAAACGGCAGAACATGACGTCACTCTGACGTAATTTCTGGCCAACCTATCATAGCCTTTGGAAAAATTTTGGTCACAATGTGTAAAATTGATGTCCGGGAGGGTACTGAAAGTTTGGTGACGATCGGCGCAGCGGTTCTGGAGATATATCGAAAAGTCTGGAGGGGGGCAAAAAATAGCCCCCCCCCCCCCACCAGGGCGCGGGTTAAGGTGGCGCAATATGACTTCTCTCTCCTACTCATTTGTGAACAGAACGTTTCACTACCACTCGCCAGAAATTCAATGAGCAGTTGCTAATCTTTTAACATTTGAGTGTACTTAACAGTTCCTTAAAAATGTCCGCCTCCTTTTCAATGGTTTGCGCGAAGACAATGCCAGAAGCAACCAATCAATACCAGAATTTTAATTGCGCAGCGAGTCAGAGGTGCCCTCAATCCTCAATACACATAGCATAGCACATACTAAATGTAGGCATAGTCACCAGCACTTGCTACCCATCACTCCCGGACGGCAGGGGAGCAAGCTACCACCGCCCCTGCGAGACTAGCGCCGCCATGCGCCAAGGAGTGGAAACACCACGTGACTGAGGCCACGTGAGGGCAGGGTCACATGATGGAGGGGCGGGGCATAGCAGCTTTTGCGCCCGACACCAACTGAAATGCCGCGCTGTGATTGGGCGCCTCAGCATAAATGAAACCCCGGCGTCAGAATCAGCTGTTCGCCTTATATGGAAAGTGAGCCTGTGCGTCTCACTGCTCTGTGTTGGTTTGAGAGCCACGGCACCATACGAATTGTGAGCCCCTTTGAACGGGTCACCGCCCGAGGCACTGAGGCGACGGCTGTGCCGAGCAAAGTCTAGCCTGGCTGGAGAGGTGGGCCAGGAAAATTGCGATCGAGCAGCCACTGGGATTTGGATTGGTATTTGGTATTATTATCTAACCGCGACAAACGATGTCAGCAGCCTCTATTAGTGTCATAGACAGACAACGTGGGCAGTGCCCAATCAAAGGCTACTAAACGAATCAGTTAAGAACTTGGCGAGGTTACCAGACCTCATAAAAAGTTTTTACATTCGTTTTTGATTAGCAAATGGCATACAAGCCCGCTGTGATGGACAAAAAAAAGAAGCTGAACAGTGCATACAACTTCTTAAAAGCTCAACGGCTTAAAAATTTAAAATATAAATGCTAGAACTCAGCCTGCATGTGTAAACTCTGGTCCGGCGCAGGCAGGAAGATTATATTGCCACTTGCAATTCCGTTACTCTGTAGTTCAAAAAAGAGTTCAGAGAGACTGTGAGAGCAGAAATTGAATGAAAGCCCGACGCCTCGTTGGGGGAGGGAGGGGGGGGGGGCGAAACGGCCCATCTCTCTTTTTCAGTCGATATCTCCTATTCTGTAGCAGATTTCGCCACCAGCCTAAAAATGATGCCCTTCCGGGCATCAATTTTACATCTTGTGACCACATTTTTCCAAAGTCTTTGAAAGCTTAGCCACAAAGGACGTCAGATTCATGTCATGTTCTGCCATTTTCGACCCAAAAAAGGCTTAGCGGGAAGAACTATCACGCCTACAGCTTTGAAGATAACGAAAAATGTTCAAGATAAAAAAGATGTAAAATAAACAGGGCTACAAAATTGCTAACTCGGATTAAACAAAGTGACCATCAAAACTTAAAAAGTGATTTTTATATCAAACCCCAAAAATACCAGAACTATTGGTCTGCTATACCTACACATGCCAAACGTGATCTCGATAGCTCCATTTTTACCAAAGCTATGGTGAAAAAAATAAATCACTCAACATTTATTACGTAAAATTTCCCAACTCAACTTTTAGCTGTTTTAGACCACACAGAGCAAAAATGACCACCTTTGGATTCCCCGTGATGAGCTGCAGCGAATATCTAGGTACCCATTTTATGCAAAATATCAACTTCGAAAATTAACCTTATTTCACCTGACCTTGACCTGACATTCACCAGGGTGTAATCTAAGTCGCAGTGTTCTAAAATTGGATATTGGTTGGGTGTGCCGATGAAGAAAAAATCCTAGGATGAAAAAAAAAAGAAAGTAAATAACTGCAGTATTTTTGCAAAATGGTGTAATGCCAATTTTTATGCTAACTGATAAACCAGAATTTTATGTCAGGATCTTGACAGGGTGTGGAACAAAAGGATGTGGGTGCATCAACTGTCAAGTGACAAGTGAACTGGCTGTTGGGAATACATGAAACTCTTTTCAGAGATGAAGTTAAGTTGGTCATTCATATTTTAGGGATGAAAATATTTTCCCCATTAGGTGTGATTTGCCACCAAAAAGGCTGAAAAATGAAACACTGCTAAGCCGGCCCCAATGGTCGTCTAGCCCACACCATTGAATTTGAAATGCAAAATTGGCCACAAAACGTGTATCACACGACGCTAGTATAGTTGGATTTATATTGTAACCCTTAGTGGCCTGACCTCGGTGGCCTGACCTGGCATCAGTGACCTTTAGCAACATATGTATTAGGCAACCAACGCTCGATGATTTTCGATTACACCTATCGATGATTTTCGATTACATGCCTTCTCTTTGATGTTATAACGCATTCCATATAGACAAGGCCCAATTAATCCGTGAAAAAAAATCGACCTTTGACCTGACCTGTGACGTCATCGGTTGCACCTAGGTCAAGGAAAACTTGGTTACCAGGTAGTTCGCTGATGGGGTTATCGAAGACTCTTTGAACTTTCAAAATCGGTCGGTTACTTTCCGAGATTTTAGGTGGAGGGGCGAAACGGCCACCATCCCCAAGGAGCGTGTAGGGTCCGCCAATAGCCCAAAGGGGAGCGGGCTAAATATTTTTATTTTGAGAACACCTTTCACACGCCATGACATGGTCCTCTAGTAATAGATCGAGACGAGGAAAGTGTTTTCACGCCTCCTTATGCACGGCTCTAGTGTCATTGAGCTATCAATCGTCAGCGGTTTCCGGACAATGTAGGAAGGTTTTTGATCATTTTAGGTCAGCGTCAGATCTTGGGTCAGATCATTTTTAGGTGTTGTTTTTATCCGCTGGGACTGAGAGCGTGAGATGATGTTTTTCGTACTCCAGCGTAGATGGGTAGCCATTCGGCTTCCACGGTTGACAGTGATGACATCCGTCATCTTTTGCAAACTCGTTAAAGATTTGGGCTGTACGGGGATTTGAACCCCGGGCCTTTGGATTAGCGCTCCAATGCTCTACCTCTGAGCTATACAGACCAAGTACTTTAACGAGCTTTCTGCCAAGTTTTATGCGGATCATTTTTAGGTGTTGTTTTTATCCGCTGGGACTGAGAGCGTGAGATGATGTTTTTCGTACTCCAGCGTAGATGGGTAGCCATTCGGCTTCCACGGTTGACAGTGATGACATCCGTCATCTTTTGCAAACTCGTTAAAGATTTGGGCTGTACGGGGATTCGAACCCCGGGCCTTTGGATTAGCGCTCCAATGCTCTACCTCTGAGCTATACAGACCAAGTACTTTAACGAGCTCGTTAAAGTCATCTCTCGAAAAACATCATCTCACTTGGGTCAGATCATTTTGCACCCATCTCAAACCAATTAAAGATTTTATGAAAAAAAATAAGTACATGTGTTATTACAATTTGAAATGTTATTTTTCGTATCCGAAAGGCAGTTTTCCAGGAACCAGCCATGCTGCTCATCAGCTGATCTGTAATGTTGATATGAGCACATCAGATGTGTTTTCATACGCCTTCTTATATGTTGGATCTAGAGCTTAGAATATGCTTTGAGCACGAAGCTAGCATGTGTATTTAAAATTGTTATAAACAATCGCTTATCATCTTTCTTGACATTAGATGACCTAGGATGTAAAATAGGGCCACCAATAATTACGGAGCGAGCGAAGCGAGCGTAGTCTTTCCTTAGATTAACGGAAATTTCTGAGTATGAGCGGCCGGCCGGCCGGCCGGCCGGCCGTGCGGACGCTTTTGCGAGGCTTATATCTCAGCAACCACTTGACCGATTTACACGCGGTAATTTTTGTAGGGTAGCTTCATTCCTTCTACCAAGTATTGGACTATTCCCGATGCATGTGGGTGACCCCTTATGCACGTGCCACGTGCGAAACGAAGAGGTGTCAGTTTTGTAATTGTTGCAATATCTCGGTAACTACTTGGCCGATTGCGCTGAAAGTTGGCATGTAGGTAGGCACCCACTAGGCACTGCATATCCATGTGCCAGAGTTGGGGTGCTGCTGCACGTGCGCACGTGCAGGGGTCGTTTCCAGATCTCGAGAACGGCTGGACCGATTGCGCTCAAATTTGGTACACGGTTAGGGA